AACTGGGCTAATCAGAAAACAGACGAAGACCACCAAACCCCCAGTTCTATAAGCCTGCTACGGAGGCTAATCAGAAAACAGCCGAAGACCACCAAACCCCCAGTTCTATAAGCCTGCTACGGAGACTTCTCAAACCCTCCGCTGCTTGAAAACCTCTTAACTGCATCTTGAAGACATCTTCGATGAAGTTTTTTTTTTTTTTTACAAACACCAGAAGCTGACAAACCTTTGCACAGTGTTTGAGCTGCCTGCACAAAATTTAAATTTCTGAACTAACATTAAATTTTCTGCTCTTTAACTTTGTAGTCACTCTTCTGTTTTTTTTTGGCTTTTTTAGTTCTTTTTTATTCATTCAGCTAACCTGCATTTTATATAAAAACCTTTGCTAAATTCTGTTACGAATCTTTTTTTCTCTATTTCGTACCTGAAATATGAGATTTTGACATGTAACATGCATGTTTTTGGTAGCCCATAGACCTTTGTCTAACATATATTTTTTAATGGAATTTAGTTCTAACTAATTGCTAGATAATGATAAAAAACAGAGTGAAGAAAGATTTGCATTTTGGTGTTCGTGTATTTTGGCTGCGTTTTTGGAGGGTTTGTTTGAGCTGCCACCTTGGCCTGTGGTTTGTGTCTGGCCAAGAGGCGGTTTTCATGCAGACCTCGGAGCAGTGCCACCCGGTGGATCTGCCGCTAAATGCAGCATATAGTTGCTCCTAACCCCCAGGTGTGGAAAGGTGGCTGGAAAAAGGAAAAAGTGACCAATCACAGGGCATGATGTCGTGATTGACAGCAGGGGAAGGGAAAAGTGACCAATCACAGGGCCTGATGTCATGATTGACAGCAGGGAAAGGGAAAAGTGGCCAATCACAGGGCCCGATGTCGTGATTGACAGCAGGGAAGGGAAAAAGTGACCAATCACAGGGCTTGATGCCATGATTGACATCAATGGACAACGTTTAGCTTTTCTCACAAAAATGTAAAAAAAATGGTTGCCTAAGTAAAAATGTGGTTTCTGTGCAACTGTTCAACGTTTTAAACATTGCAACTTGAGTGGCTGAGGCAGGGTTTCCTGCATTTTTCGTACCCTTAAAACGTGCATCGCACATTGCAGCTAACACAGCACCTGCAACTGCAGTGCAAACTGCATCTGATAGGGGGAGCTGTGGTATTGCATGTTGTTTTGAATGTTGGATTGTTGTTGCCAAGTGATGAGAGGTTTGTTGCTGACTGCTGATGAAGGTAAACAAACAGAAAGTGGCCCCTTTTACTTTTTCCCCTGAGGTCTAAAACAGCCTTTTGTTTTTTTTCTGAATCAAACAGTAGATACACATTGTACACATACAATGTACATGTAGATACATGTAGTGTACTCAGTTCTAGTCATTTTGAAACATATATTGTTTTAAGAATTCTATTTAAGAGTTACATAGATTTTACATATACCAGGTATGTGACTCCATGGACAGTCATGTCGAATTTTTAGTACCCATTCTGCACCATTTTAATTGTATGAAGATTAACTGTTGTTCTTTGAACTGAACTTTATATGTGATATTTTTTTCCAAGTTACCCCGTTCTCCGCTGATCTGCCTTTTTTCCCATGGTCCACAGGGAGATGCACAGATAGACTCCAGAAGAAGAGGAATGAGGTACGAGTCGGCCTGGCTCTTCAGAGTCTGGTACAACTTCGACCACAAGTATCCTTTCTCACAATCAGGGGCAAGAAATATGCTGCATGTTGGACAATTGCTCTAGAATTCACTCATCATAACTCAACTGCAAAAACACTATATGGTAAACATGAACAGTAGAAGCTCTTGATTGCAGAGGTCACTGTAGACAGAAGAAACTGCCATGAAAAATGGAATAAACACCAATTTAAAGCGCTCTGTGTTAAAACTTTTGGGTTTTGATCCAACACAAAAAGTTCTCTCACCTAGAGCTTTCAACCAGTCACTCTGGTCTTCCTCAGTAGACTGACCCAGTGAAGCTTGTCACGTGGCTTCTTTGAAGTGTGACGTCAACAATGGGTCAAAGGTATCTGGTAGACGATGTCAACCCCAGTCTCGGTGTGTTTTGTTAATAAAACATGTTGACATTCTAGAGATTTCTTATCACAAATGTTTGGAACCCCTGCTTCTCCTATTGGGTTAGTCAGGCCTTGATGCACTCTGAAAACAACAACGTTAGACCTGCCCATCCATGACTCCCCCCCCCCCACTGCATTGTCCTTAACCATTCCCAGTTACTTGAAGCCGACCCTGACACACGCAGGACCCCCCCTAACGGAGACCCTACCCCCCTGCTGCCTACCGCTGGCAAGATGTCTCACAAGTACACAGGCTTACGAGGTAAGGTGTCTTATACAATGATGCAGACATGTCAAACAAGTAAACAGGCTAGAAGGCAAGATCTATTACAAGTACACACAAGATGCTTGAGACAGAGGTAAGAGAAAGTTGGTATGCTAACTAACTTCTTGTCTCAAAGATGATTTCGAAATCCCCCCAAAAACCAAAAAAAATTCCCTTGTTCCCCCCCTGAAAAACTTGTCTTTTCCTCCTCAAAACCAGTCCAAAAAACGGGTATAATTTTCCTACCCTTGCCTCTCCCCTGGGAAGACTTCGTTTGCCCCCCACCCCCACCCCAAACCCCCCAAGCATAACTGGTAAAAAATTGTAATTTTCCTCCCCATGCCTGACCCCCTGAAAAACTTGGTATGTTCCTCCCCAGAATGTGGATCCAAATAAAGTCAAAGTCAAAGAATCAGTCCAGAAACATAATACTTTTGCTCTCCTTGCCCTCCCCCCTTGATCAATTGGTTTGTTAAAAAAAATGTAATTATTTTAAGATTTTTAAAAATCATATTTTTCTCAGAACCAGCACCAGATCCAGTTGATGTTGAGGTCCCAAAAAATGTGATTTTAACGTTTTTTTTTTCATGATTTTTCTCCAGAACCAGTTGATTTTTAGGTCCCAAAAATGTAATTTCAACATTTTTAAAATGTTTTTCCCCAGAACCAGCACCAGATCCAGGAGGACAGTGATACGGACCTGATTCTGGACGGCAGCGAGCTCTCGTACGGACGCGCAAATTCCGGGAACGACCTCACGGCAACCGTGGTGACCACGCCTACCAACGCCACGCCCACTCTACCCAAGGTTTGTTTGTGTGTTAGTTTAAGAAACCTCTATGCCAAAAAGCAGTTACTCAAGTAACTGGATATGATTTTGGAAATGGTCAGACGTTTCAGCTAGTATCCACTAGCTTTAGTCAATGACTGAGAGACCAGAGGAGAAATGCAGGTTTATGAGCACGAACTATTGATTGATATGCAAATAAGTGAAGACAGTATAAACCTTATAAAGCTTATAAACCTGCATTTCACCTCTGGTCTCTCAGTCACTGACAAAAGCTAGACTAAGTGGATACTAGCTGAAACGTCTGACCGTTTCCAAAATCATATCCAGTTGCTTGAGTAACTGCTTTTTGGCGTATCGTATTACCTGGATGTCTAGCCTTCATCGAAATAACAATATTACATTAAATAATTGAGCCTGAATTATGATTTTCTAGGCCCCAGCAGAAGAGGATGGAGTAGAGGGTGACCTGGGCCTGGGCGACCACGAGCTTCGGACACGAGCGCGAGTCATGATGACGATGAGCACAGGAGTACCCGGCAAGGACAGTAGCCATGTATGACCACCGGGTATATCGTACACGTAGGCTTACAGGTAGAACTTCTTAAACATTAGAAAACGGAAAATGCATTTTTTGAGAACAAAAAAAAACAAACTAGGTTTTACTTGAGTACTGGAGTGCCAGGCATGTATGAGTCTATGACCAACGGGTGTATCGTACACGTAGGATAACTGGTAGTGTTTAGTGCAGTATGGTTCAACTGTACATTAAACATTTAATTTACTTACTTTACTTACATTACTTACATTTAATTTAGGAGATGCAAAATGCTTTTTTGAGAACAAAAAAGAAATGAAAGTAACCATGTATGACCACCGGATCTCTCATACATGTAGGCTTACAGGTAGACTTTAGTGCAGTACAGCTGTACATGAAAGGACTTACTAAACATATAATTAGGGAACAGGAAATGTTTTTCAGATGAGGCCTGTAGCCCAAAGGTACTGGGTATATACGGGGGGGGTGGGGTGGGTGGGGGGTGGGGGTGGGTCATCAGCCATGTTTGACCACCGGGTATATCGTACATGTAGGATTACAGGTAGAACTTCTTAAACTCTTGATTTAGGAAACGGAAAATGCTTTTTTTGAGAACAAATTATAAAATGACAAAGTAGCTTTGACACAAGTACTGGTCTACCCAGCAAGGATAGCAGCCATGTATGACCACCGGATTATGCTTACAGGTAGTGTTTAGTGCAGTACAAGACTTAACATTTTAATTTAGAGAACAAAAATGCTTTCCAGATGAATCCTGTAGGCTAAGCCCAAAAGTACCGGAAAAGGACATAAGTCTAGTATGACTACCGCACATGTCACATACATGTACAACAAAATGTATGACCACCGGGTCTCTCCTACACGTAGGCTGTACTGTCCTCAACTGGACAATAAAGGACTTACTACATGTAATCATTCAGACAACAGAAAATGCTTTTTAGATGAAGCCTGTATAGCCCAAAAGTACCGGAAAAAGACAGAAGTCATGTATGACTACCGCACATGTCACATACATTTGTATGTACAACAAAATGTATGACCACCGGATGTCTCATACATGCACATGTAAGCTTACTGGTAGAACTTACATGTAGTGCAGTACAGCTGTACAACAAAGGACTTACTTCTTAAACACTATAATTTAGGGAACAGAAAATGCTTTTCAGATGAAGCCTGTAGCCCAATTTACATACAGTACTGGGAAAAGACATACATGTATATTATTAAGTCATGTATGACTGACTACCGCACATGTCACATACATGTACATGTAGGCATGACCACTGCACGTGTCACACAATAACAACAACACATACATGAAGGCTTACAGGTAGAACTTTTAGTGCAGATTCAAGGTTCACTGTACAGTAAAGGACTTACTTCTTAAACACT